GTTGTGTGTGTGTGTGTGTGTGTGTGTGTGTGTATATATATATATACATACACACACACGCACATGTAAGGGTGTAGACAAGGGGAGGGGGACTTCATCCCCACCAGATTTTCAGCTTTAAAATAAAATCTATTATTCATAGATACTATAGTCACTACATGTGCATCTGGTTTTAACTCTTATAAACACATAAGCCACCCCACTTTCCAAACCGTATCTATGCCCTTGATATATGTATATTGTACCAGTATAGTTTGAGAAATGAATTAAATTATTTCAACTTTAAACCTATAAAACCTCTTTCAAATATATTTAGCTTGTTTTTGTTTTTTCAGTATTAGGTAGGGATAAAATAATTTGTTTGAAGTTAACTACTCCTTTAAAAAATTTATATTTTTAAAGTGAATTTCTACATGACTAAGTAAACATTGAAAAAACCAACAAACTTACAAACACACTGAAGGCTTTACTGTATTTCATTCATAGTAACTGAAATATACAAAATAAACCATAATAAATAAAAGGAATGCATTGTATTGATTTATATGCGCACACACACACACACACACACACACACACGCACACACACACACACACACACATATCATGCTTCTAATAACTTATTAATGTAGAATTAATTTGCAGCTTTAGGACAAATGGTGATAAAGTTTTAAATAATTTGCTGTAGTAGTTAGGTTTTCAGTTTGCTTTTGGTTAAAAATAAGATCAGTGTTAAAAGACTTAGAATTAAAACTGAGATTGATCAATACTGAACATGCAATTGTACTTGGATGTAGCTAACTTAATATTTGTTTGTAATTTTGTTTTAGGGCATTTACTAAATCTTCAGAAACTCTTGAAAAAGTTCGGGTGAGTTGTGATTAACTAAATGAATTTATGTGTGTTATGTAAAATAAAGTTTAGATCCACTATAATGTAACAACAGCAAATTTATATAGATACAAGTTTGACTCTTTACATGTCCTCTTCAGTCCAGTGTTTGACTGAAGAGAACATGTGAAAGTGACCAACTTGTATCCATACAAATTTGTTGTTGTTCCATAATAGTAGATCTGAACTCTATTTTTGATTATTTTATATAATATTGTGTATTTACCTATTATTATTATTGTGTGTGTGTTTCTTTTTAAGATGCCTTATTTGTTCTTTTGATAAATGAAACAGAATTAAGTTGTTTATACAGGATATTATTTTTAGAAGTAAAAGGTTTACTAATTTTGAATATTTATGTGAAATATTTAGCAGTATATGAAAATATGGTAAAACTGTGTAATATTTGAAATAAAAGCAAAATATTAGCAGTAAGAAGTACTTTAGCAAATTAAAACTGTGTTCATCAAAAATCTCTAGGCCTTTGTCAAAACTATTTTCACAATATACGTTACAGGACTGCAAGAAACCAGGAAAAGTCAGGGAATTTGATTATGCTCCCCCTGTTTTATCTCAGAATCTGCACTTGCTTACAAATTATGCTGCATAGCTTTGCCAGTTATTGATATATTTTAATACACTGTTATTTTTTTAACTTGATAATTATGTAATTCTTATATTTAATGATAGGTTAGATCAAATATGCTCTTGTAAACAAAAATGCAACATTTTAGTATCTACCATCAAATTATAATATCATTATTTACAGATGTTTTCCTTTAGTACTGAAGTCTGAAGTTAGTATGTTTTGAGGTTTTTAATACCCTTTATAACTAGTTTACAAGCTAATATGGTTTTAAGTTAATAGGATAATGAGGAAAAATTTAAATGTCAGTGTGTTGTGCATACACATGTGCAGGTTTAGAAAAATCTGGAGTTTTTCATGGAAAGTTAGGGAACAACATTTAAGAAAGAATGCAGCCATTGTAATTAATTTACTACATTATATTTTAAGTGGATATCTTGTGAATACTGTTTGCATTGAGATAACCTCAAGTAGTTTGTCCATGCAAACATTTTTTGTACCATCAGATAACACTCTTGATAAGAAAAACTTGGACTGTAATGTAATCTGTTTTATATTTTCATGTGTCAATGTTGGATGGTTTTTTGCTGATGTTACTGATAATAAATCTGAATTAAATACCAGTTCATCATAAATTTGTGTGGAAGAAAAAATTTGTGTGTGCCAAAAGCAATAGCACCCAAAGGGATTGGGGATATCCCATCTATCAGACAAAATCCAAAAAGGGAGGTTTGGAGTAAGATGCAGTAGAATTATTAGGGTGGTATTTATTCTACTTTAAATATTTTTTTAGAACTTTTAAGGGTGGAGGATGGTAGGCATTGTTTAGTAAAATATTTTTTTGGGTGGCTTGATTTTATCTTATTTCTACTTTTGACTTTATTACACATTTTTAAGGGTAACTGCCTTCCCACAACTGGCTGCAGACTGTGAAAGGCAGTAAGAGTTGAGACGTTGTTGGTGTAAACACTCAACTTTGTACCCTTAATTGAATTTTCCATGACTGCTAATTGGTTTCTCATCTGCTTTTTGGATTTTGTCTGATAGATGGGATATCCCCAATCCTTTTGGGTGCTATTACCACAGTCAATCTCCGTTATGACTTTTGGATAATGACCAGAAAGTGCAAACATTTTTTGTTTTTTCAAATAATGTTTTGAATTTTGTTATATTAAGTTCATTATTGTTTTACAGTGCTGATTTTGATTGCCTGTTGACAATTAATGTAATTGATATAATAGTTTTGAAGCTATACCTCTTATATACTGAATATATATAAGGATTGCATTTATTCTTTACTGTTGTTGCAAATATATCATTTACTAAAGGCTTGATGTAAGCATCAAATGGTCTAATGATGATTTCTATAATATTGAGGAGACAATCTATGACAGTAAAATAATATTGGAGCACTTGTTTGTTTGAAGTGTAAAATAAAAAGCTCAGTTTTTGTTTTATTTTGCAGAAAGTTGAAAGTCGAATAGCATCTGATGAAGACTTAAAGTTGTCTGATACACTTAGATATTACATGAGAGACACCTCTGCAGTAAAGGTATTATGGGATTTTACCCTTTAAACGTTTTTTATATTTTTCAGGAAATGAATATATAGGTAAATTGTTCCAACAATGACAGTTCAAATAATATAAAAATACAGATACAAGTATTTCTTAGTTTGTGTTTTAACTGTGTATTAAAATACAAATGTAATTTAAATGTTTTAACTGTATTAAAAATACAGGTACAAGAATTTCTATTTCCTGTAAAGAAATGTTTGGGCAGTGTGTTGATGTTTCGGATAGTTTTCTTATGAACTGCTCCTGTTGTTTGTCTGATCTTGGAGAATTTGCCAGATTTTTAATATTAATTTTTAAATTTGACAAGACAATAAAGGACAATGGTGACAATGAAACACTTAAGCATGTAGTCTACAGTCTACCTTAAAGCTGTGGCAGAATATATATATATATATATGTATTGGAGAAACTTAAAGAATCATTCAACAAAGACTAATAGAAAACGTAGATGCAAAACAACTTTTATACCCAGAGAAATCAGCTGTAGTTGAGCATGCACCCAACAAAGTATGCAAATGCAGTGAGAAAAACATTATATAACTGATGCTGAGGAACACTGGAAACACCATATTTTATACAATGGGAAAAACTAGATTAAGCAGCTACTTCTAGGTCTAGTCAGGACTCAACAGTGTTAGAGCTTTTTCTCAGGACCACACTATAACAGTCTTTTAGACTCGCCTACTGACTTGGAAAAAACAGGATTAAACCATCACTGTCACAACCAATCAAGAAATACCATTCCAGTATTTCTTTAAGCTTTCTCTCAGGACTGTGCTACTGCCCGTATATAATAATAATAATAATAATAATAATAATATATATATACACACACACACACACACACACACACACACACACACACACACACACACACACACACACA